AGTAAAGTGCGTCCGAAGCGGCAGAAGGCGTACATGTTGCTGTATGAGTCGGGGCGACCCAGAGCAGCACAAGAACAGAAACCTGCACATCCAGCTGAACACTGACGGTCCTATTAAGTACGTGGAGGTCCTGGGAGGGGACATGTTGTCTCAGAGCCAGTCCTTCAGGTCGTGCCTCTCTCCAATGTCAGAGTTCAGTGATCTCACCCTCATTAAACCCAGCAGCACATTGGATTTTAAAGAGATGGTAAATGTAATTGACGCATCTTTACCAGACAGCGCCTGGACTTTCGAGAGCCAACAGGTGAGCTCCGATTGTCTGCTTCGGTTTGTTATTTCTTCTCTGATTTAACGTATGCGTTCTTATATAGTTATTAGCTTTGTCTTTGAAATATCGTACATTCATTTTCTTGTGGAAAAATTGTCGTTAACAGGGGCGTCAGAAACACTGAACAGAAACACTATACACACTGGTAAAACTAATATTTTATGTTAAATGTGGGGGGTCCAAACGAATACTTATGAAATGTGAGAAATGTGTCAGATTTAATGGAGGCGACGCCCATGGTCTTTAAAAATTAGAAGATCCTGAAAGATAGCTTTAAAGGGAGTCGTTACTCATGCTCGTTTGTAACACCCCCAATAACGACTAGGAGTGAACACCCCTAAAAAAGTACTATAGCTATTTATACAATGAGATACTCAAATCAGTAAACTGGCGTGATCTTCTATCTCAAACAAAATGTCCTTGCATATAAATTTGTAGCGCAATTATAACCTTACAAACCCCAGTCCTGGTTCCCAGCTCAGCTCTCCTTGGTATAATCTGCTTTTCTCCGTAGCTTGACTCCCTCCTTGTCACGTACTCCACTCAGTTACAGGATTCATTATCTTTATGTTTTTCCATTTCCCACAATGCATAGCAAATACAATAAACTTCCATAATGCTGTTTACGTTTTAAAATTTTGTATTTTCAGCGTGTGGAATATGAAACCAATTCTTGTGTGGGTGTGTGTGTGATTGTGTCTATGTATTAAGCTATCCTGCCTTGGCTCAGTACTTAGCAATTATTAGTGTTTGTACACGTTCTTTCGTAATGCATTTTAAAATGTTTATTTTTTGTATTGTAGTGTTTTTATTTTAACTTCCTTCCTATATTCTTTTTTATGTTTTTTTTGTTTGTTTTATTTGTCCATTATATTTATGTATAACTGCAGACTTGTTGTTTAATAATGTAAAAAGTTAAAAAGGGCAGGAACCGTAGTTATACTGGCGCGCTGGCCTCGTGCTGGTGACGTAGTAACCCACAGCCGTGCTTGAGTTCTTTGACGTTTCAGCACCAGCGCTTTCGGACAGCGACTTTGGCGCTCGGTCACCCTGTCACTGCGTAGGCAGCGAGAAACATTTTTTCAGCCATCATAAATTCTGAACCTTACATTTTGAGTATCAAACCTTCTTTTTTGGCATTAAGTTTGCTTTTTCCCCTCACTTATCGGGTGAAAATCTTTTCTGTAAATACACGTTTATCATATATAGGCATATATATGTTTACCTTAAAAATATTAGATTAAGTATTCTACTAAACAGGATACACATTGGATATATTGATTACTCTATAGATAATATGTGAACATGTAGGTGGCAGTTTATTTAATACTCGGTGACATTTTTCTTTCCTTTTACATCCCTACGGTGGGAGTGTTCCACGATTTTTGTGTGTGGGTCCCAATTATTTACCTTTTATCACGTAAATTGAAAACGGCAATATTACGTCTGCCTGTGCCTTTAAGAAGCACCTTCATTTTTACTGGACAATTCAGAGTTGCAGCGTGAACCAATGAAATCGAGGGACCGTACAAAGAGATCTAGTCCATCCCCCAGTCTACAGCACCGTAACCCTTCAGATGCTTAGATTCGAGAAAGACTGAGCTCAACGTAGTCATCGGCAATATGTTCATTGAAAAAACAAGATGCGAAAACGTTTTGTCAGGTGATTTTCCAAAATCAAAATATACATGGTAATCAATTTAGTCACGTGTTCAATTTTATATCCAAGTGCTACACTATGGAAAATATTTTGAGTTCAGCGGAAAAATGATTAATCGGGGGAAGAATCACCTTTTGGGATGGCAGGCGTTGCGGTTATTGTCTTTTTTACCTTTGTGGAATATAATAAACGGACAGATTCGCTACACGATTCCCGAGGAAATGACAAAGGGTTCGGTGGTTGGAAATTTAGCGAAGGACCTGGCATTAGGGGTTGTGGAGATTGCTGAACGTAAGCTGCGGATCGCTTCTGAGCCTGGTAAGCAGTATTTTAGCGTGGACTTGGAAAAGGGAGAGCTGGCGGTGAGTGGCACCATCGACAGAGAGAGTCTGTGTGGACAAAGCGCTGGCTGTGTTTTACCTGTGCAACTCGTTATTGAAAATCCACTGCAGCTGTATCGCGTCGAGGTTGAAGTACAGGACATAAATGACAACTCTCCGGCATTTCTCACAAAAGAGCACATACTAGAAATAGCCGAATCTGTTTCGCCCGGAACACGTTTCCCACTGGAAAGCGCCGAGGATGCTGATGTCGGCAGCAATAGCTTACGTTCATATGTAATTAACACCAACGAGTGTTTCAGTTTAAATATCAAGAGCCTAGAAAATGGCAGAAAAACACCAGAACTGATCTTGGACAAAACCTTGGATAGAGAAAAACTGTCAGTCCATAAACTGGTGTTAACGGCAGTGGACGGAGGTAATCCTGCCAAATCCGGGACCACACTGATTCATATTGTTGTTCAGGATATAAACGACAACGCACCACAATTTGACAGAACATTGTATAAGACTTCCATCAGTGAAAACGTCGGGAATGGGACAACTGTGCTCGCGCTTAAAGCTACGGACCTCGACGAAGGTCCAAATGCAGAAATACAGTACTACTTCGGCAGTCACACACCAGATATTATACTGAAAACATTTAGTGTCAATCCCAGTACCGGAGATATTATTGTAGTTGGACAGCTCGATTTTGAGGAGATTAAATCCTATACCTTTGATGTCCGTGCTAAAGACAGGGGGAATCCCAGCCTGGAAGGACACTCGTCGGTTCAGGTGGACATACTAGACGAGAATGATAACTCCCCAGAAGTCATTCTCACGTCACTGCCTAACCCCGTCCAGGAAAATGCGCCAGTTGGAACCGTGATTGCTTTGATCAATGTAAAAGATTTGGATTCGGGGGAAAACGGGAAAGTGGATCTGCAAATACCTCCAAACTCTCCATTTAAACTAAAATCGTCGTTCGAAAACCACTACTCTTTAGTAACTGACTCAAGGCTCGACCGTGAAATTAGTCCCGAATATAATATAGTAATAATTGCTTCCGACTTGGGTTCCCCGCGCCTGCAAACGAAGAAGATCGTTAATGTCAAAGTATTAGATGTCAATGACAACCCTCCGGTATTTTCTCAACCCTCCTATAACGTATACGTCATCGAAAATAATCCTGTAGGTTTGTCTCTGTATTCTGTTTCTGCTTCGGATATTGATGCAGATGTGAATTCTCTACTATCCTATTCGATCCTAGATTCGACTTTAGGCGGTATTCCAGTATCGTCCTATTTTTATATCAACTCTGAAAACGGCACTATATACAGTCTAAATTCGTTCGATTATGAAAGGAATAAGGTTTTTCACGTTGTCGTGCAGGCGAAAGACCAAGGTTCTCCGTCTCTGAGCAGTAATGCTACTGTTCATGTTTTCATCCAGGACCAGAATGATAATGCACCTGTAGTAATTTATCCCTCTGTCATCATGGGATCTACCTCCCATCAAAAGTTGCCTAGATCAGCTAAAGCGGGACACCTAGTTACCAAGGTAACAGCAGTGGACGCCGATTCGGGCCACAACGCCTGGATTTCTTATAAGTTGGTGGAGACTACAGATGGGTCTTTGTTTAATGTAAATCTTTATACAGGGGAGGTCCGGACTAAACGTGCAGTTTCAGATCAGGATGATTCACCTCACAGATTGCTAATAGAGATAAAGGACAATGGCGAGCCAATACAATCCACAACGGTGACAGTTGGCATATCATTAGAAGACGGGTTTCAAGAGCCCATCTTGGATTTACAACATGAACAGCACGAACCAACAAACAAAGACGGCAAAATCACCTTTTATTTGATCATCGCACTGGCGTCGATTTCTGCCGTATCTTTGTTGACTTTTGTAATACTGACAGTAAAATGCATCCGAAACGGCAGAAGGCGTACATGTTGCTGTATGAGTCGGGGCGACCCAGAGCAGCACAAGAACAGAAACCTGCACATCCAGCTGAACACTGACGGTCCTATTAAGTACGTGGAGGTCCTGGGAGGGGACATGTTGTCTCAGAGCCAGTCCTTCAGGTCGTGCCTCTCTCCAATGTCAGAGTTCAGTGATCTCACCCTCATTAAACCCAGCAGCACATTGGATTTTAAAGAGATGGTAAATGTAATTGACGCATCTTTACCAGACAGCGCCTGGACTTTCGAGAGCCAACAGGTAAGTCAAGGTGTACATGCCAGTTACCTCCAACACAATGTTACTTCATCATGAAAATATTGTTACAGACGAGAAGTACTTAGCATTTTTCATTTGTGTGAATCTAATTAGCCTCGTTAAATGTACTCTCAGAGTTTAATGTTATATAGGATTTCCTAATAGTTAAAATGTAATTTAAAAATGTTATTTGGGTAAGTCTGCCATACTTTTCTCACTTATTGGTATTTATATTGATATTTTATTGATATATTCACTATATTCTTGAAAATAATAATAATGATAATAATAATAATAATATTTTCATTATAAGAAAATATAAATTTAAAATGCAGGGTAATTCCATAACCGTACTGAGGGTGCTTTTTGTGCTTTGTTAAATTACAACAATAGCTGTTTAATTTTGGAATATCTACCTTCAGTGTCACAATGTGAGGTGTTTCACCTGCGTAGGCAGCCGTATCTTTAAAAAGCAGTTATCTTCCTATTGGATATACTCCGTGATCGCTGTGCACCAATAAAAACCACGACTGTACAGAGAGATCTACTCCCTCCCCCATCTTCAGCATCCTAACCCTTACAATGCCCAGAGCTTGGAGAGACGGAACTGCGCTCACACGCAGACAGCTGATCAAAAGGAATTCAATGGATCTTATAATTAAATCTAATATTTTAATGATTTTTATCATTTGATTTGCTCTGCTATGCATTTCGAAATCAAACCTTTGCGTGAATTTCTAGCGGATCTACACTAGAAATGAGGACCTGGACGTGGAAACAGATCTGGGAATGGATGGCGCTGTGTATTTTTTTCTTTCTCTTGTGGAATACAATAGACGCACAGATTCGTTACACTGTTCCCGAGGAGCGGAGCCTGGGTTCCGTTGTTGGGAATATAGCTAAAGATCTGGGTTTGAGAATAGCTGAGATTTCTGACCGCAAGCTGCGGATCGCCTCTGAGGCTGGTAAGCAGTATTTCAGCTTGGATTTGGGAAAGGGGGAGCTTACTGTCAGCGATAGAATCGACAGAGAGAGTCTGTGCGGACAAAGCAACGTGTGCTTATTGCCTTTACAGTTAGTGGTTGAGGCCCCCCTAGAATTTTTCCGTGTGGAAATTGAAATTCAGGACATAAATGACAATTCTCCCCGCTTCCCTACACAACAGCGCACTTTAAAAATCGCAGAATCAACGTCAACCGGGGTACGGTTCCCATTGGAGAGCGCGCTGGATCCCGATGTAGGTAGTAATTCTCTGAAATATTACATGCTTAATAAAGATGAATGCTTCAGCGTCAAAGTAAAAAATCTCGACGATGGGCGAAAGGTTCCCGAGTTAGTTTTAGAGAAGTCTCTTGATCGCGAAAAGCAGGATGTCCATCAGTTATTACTGACTGCTACAGACGGTGGGAATCCGGCGCAATCGGGAACTACACAAATCACAATTATCGTGCTTGATATTAACGACAATATTCCTGTTTTTGAAAACGCATTGTACAAAATCACTATAAATGAGAACAGTTCAAAAGATACTTCACTAATCCGACTTAAAGCAACGGACTTGGATGAGGGTCTAAATGGAGAAGTAAATTATTACTTTGGTGAGCATACATCGGAAACGGATAGTTCAACGTTTATGATTGACCAGAGAACTGGTGAAATATTTTTGAAGGGAGAGCTTGACTATGAAACCACTCCCAGGTATAGAATCGACGTTGTCGCTAAAGACAGAGGTACTCCAGAGATGGAGGGACATTGTAGCGTGGAAATGGAAGTAGTGGATGTGAACGACAACGCTCCCGAAATTGTGCTCACTTCCCTCCCAAGCCCAGTTCGCGAGGACGCGCCGAATGGTACTGTAGTGGCGCTGATCAGTGCGCGAGACCTTGACGCTGGCGACAATGGGAAGGTGACTCTGGTCGTTTCGCTTGGCTTTCCTTTTATTTTGAAACCATCGTTTTCTGATCATTATGCGCTGGTTACTAATGGTATTTTAGACCGAGAGACTTTCTCAGAGTATAATATCGAAATAACAGCAAGTGATGCAGGTTCGCCTTCCCTTACCACCAAAAAAATAATACCGGTTAATATTCTTGATATCAACGATAACCCACCCAGTTTTACAGACTTATCCTATAATGTGTATCTGACTGAGAATAACGCACCGGGCTCTATACTGGGTACAATATCTGCTTCGGATCCGGATTTAGGAGACAATGCTAAGATCTCCTACTCTATCTTAGACTCCAAAGCGGGGGATATGTCTGTTTCTTCATATGTTTACATTAATGCGGAAAACGGCAGCATCTACAGCATGCAATCTTTTGACTATGAGAAAGTGAAGGTATTTCAGGTCCAGGTACAGGCGAAAGACCAAGGCTCCCCATCTCTGAACAGTACTACCACTGTTCATGTCTTCATATTGGATCAGAACGACAATTCTCCAATCGTTATTTATCCCTCTGCTGGCATGGGATCTGTCTCCAATCAGAATATACCCAGATCTGCTAAAGCAGGACACTTGGTTACCAAGGTAACAGCAGTGGACGCTGATTCGGGCCACAACGCCTGGATTTCTTATAAGTTGGTGGAGGCTACAGATGCCTCTTTGTTTAGTATGAATCTTTATACAGGGGAGGTCCGGACTAAACGTACAATTTCAGATCAGGATGATTCCTCTCACAGATTGCTGATAGAGATCAAGGACAATGGTGAGCCAATCCAGTCTACCACGGTGACAGTTGGCGTATCGTTAGAAGACGGAATTCACGAGCCTGTCTTGGATTACCGACAAAGAGCACACGAACCGGGCAAGAAACATGGGGAAATCACCTTTTATTTGATCATCGCACTGGCGTCGATTTCTGCCGTATCTTTGTTGACGTTTGTAATACTGACAGTAAAGTGCGTCCGAAGCGGCAGAAGGCGTACATGTTGCTGTATGCGTCGGGGCGACCCAGAGCAGCACAAGAACAGAAACCTGCACATCCAGCTGAACACTGACGGTCCTATTAAGTACGTGGAGGTCCTGGGAGGGGACATGTTGTCTCAGAGGCAGTCCTTCAAGTC